TGGAACGTAATATTTTCTTTATGAAATCTTGTGAAACCAAAAATTTGCATATTGTGAAACTTTACATTTTCAATAGAAAATTTTGTGGAATGTAATATTTTCTACAGAAAAACTTTTGGAATGTAATATTTTCTAAAGTGACTCTTGTGGAATGTAATTGTTCTTACAGAAAATCTTGTAGAACGTATTTTTGTACATAGAAAATCTTGTGGAACGTAATATTTTTACACAATAAATCTTGTGAAATGTAATATTTTCTAAAATAAATCTTGTGGAACGTAATTTTTCCTATAGAAAATCTTGTAGAAAGTATTTTTTACATAGAAAATCTTATGGGACATAATATTTTCCATAGAAATTAACGTGGAATCTAATATTTTCAATAAAATATCAAGGGGAACTTAATATTTTCTTATGATTATTATGTCCCACAATAATAGTTTCTATAGAAAATATTCTGAAACCTAAAATTTGCTATAGAACATATTGTGAAACTTTACATTTTCAATAGAAAATATTGTGGAACGTAATATTTTCTTTAGCAAAAATTGTGGAATATAATACTATTTACAGTAGATCGTGTGGAACGTAATATTTTGTATAGAAAATTTTGTGGAACCTAATAATTTTTCGGATCGTATTTTCTTTAATTGAAAATATATCGAGGACTAATATTTTTCAATAGAAAATTTTTTGGAACATAATCTTTTTCTAAAAATACATTTTGGACCCTGTTATTTTCTATCGAAAATTTCAGCAGAAAAAAAATATTCCAATCAAATTCTAGGAGTGTTAGGGGAACTACATTTCTTCGCGTATAATTAAAAATTCTTAATGCGTTTAAGCATGACTGACGAGCATGACGGCTGTATGTCTATCTCTCTCCACTCGCCATATCTCTCTTTCCCTCGCCCGACTAATCCATCAAATGAAAACACTCCCTCAGTGTTACCATCAATTAATTTATTACCATTTTAATGTATATTTTTATTTTTATTTACCGTTGTTGTTGTATTTTATTTTGTTTGAATTTATTAATTTGTCTTAATTATGCTATTTATTGTTATCCAATTAAATTGATACGCAAAATAAATATTTGAACAAAGAGACGACGGACGACGTCTAATGGAGAAGTAGAAGACAAATTTCTTCTGATGTGTGTCGGTGACTCACACACCACTCTAGAACGAACTTCCTTCCTAAAGTCGGTCACATTTTATGTTTTATTTTCTTCTTTCATTTTTCGTTTATTTATTTTAAATATTAATAATTTTCTTTTGTATTTTTGTTGTTGTAGTAATATTTTCTCAAGTAAAATTTTGTGGATTGTAATATTTTCTAAATAAATTCTTGTGGATTGCATATTTCCCATAGAAAATTTTGTGGAACTTAATATTTCGTTCCACAAAATGTTGTGGATCGTAATATTTTCTTTTGAAAGTCTAGTGAAACGTAATATTTTACATCGAAAGTGGTGTGGACCGTAATATTTTCTATACAAACTATTGTGGATCGTAAGTTTTCTCTTGAAAATATTGTGGAACGTAATATTTTCACAAGTAAAATTGTGTGGACTGTAATATTTTCTACAAGAAATCGTGTGTAATATTGGAAATTCTACAAAGAAATTTTGTGGAACGTAATATTTTGCGGAAAGTGGAATATATCTGTAGAAAATTTTGTGGAATGTAGTATTTTCTCAAGTAAAATTTTGTGGATTGCAATATTTTGTACAAAAAATCTTGTAGAACGTAATATTTTGTAGTGGAAATAGTGTGGAACCTATTATAGTCCATAGATAATCTTGTGTAACTTAATATTTTCTATGAAAAATAATGTGGAACGTAATATTTTGTTTAGATATCTTGTGGAACGTAATATTTTCTATAGAAAATTTTGTGGATCGTAATATTTTTTTTTAGAGAATCTTGTGGAACGTAATATTTTGTAGTGGAAATTGTGTGGAACCTATTATTGTCCATAGGGAATCTTGTGGAACATAATTTTTTCTATGGAAAATAATGGATCTTAATATTTTTGTTTAGAAATCTTGTGGGACGTAATAGTTTGTAGTGTGGAACCTATTATTGTCAATAGAGAATCTTGTGGAACGTAATTTTTTCTATGGAAAATAATGTGAGGCAAATATTTTGTGTCGGAAATCGTGAGGAATGTAATAATCTCTTTAGAAAATTTTGTGGATCGTAATATTTTTGTTTAGAAAATCTTGTGAATCGTAATATTTACTACTAGAAAAGGGGTTGAATCTAATATTCCCTTTAAAAATCGTGTAAATCGTTAAGTGTTCTCTGGTAAATCTTGTGGAACGCAATATTTTCGCAAGACAACTTTGTGGATTGTAAGATTTTCGATCGGAAATCTTGTGGAACGTAATATTTTGCATTGAAAATTGTGTGGAACGTATTATTGTCTATAGAAAAGTTTGTCGAATGTAATATTTTCTATGGAAAATATTGTGGATCGTAATATTTTCTGTAAAAAATTTTGTGCAACGTAGTATTTTCTTTAAAAAATCATGTGGAACGTAATATTTTTTTTATATAATTTACTGTGGAATGTATTATTTTCTATAGAAATTCCCGTGGATCGTAATGATTTCTATAAAAAACCTTGTGGAACATAGGATTATCTATAGAAAATATTGTGGAACGTAATATTTTCTATAGATAATATTGTGGAACGTAATATTTTTTATAGAAACTATTATAGAAATGTTGTGGGATATAACAGTTTCTATAAAAATCATGTGGAACGTATTTTTTTTAATAAAATATCTTGTGGAATGTAATATTTTTTAAAGAAATTCTTGTGGATCGTATTATTTTCTACAGAAAATCTTGTGGATCGTATTAGTTTCTATAGAAAATATTGTGGAACCTATTATTTTCTATAGAAAATCCTGTGGCACGTATTATTTTCGCAAGTGGATCTTGTGGAATGTAATATTTTTTATAAAAAATATTGTGGAACATAATATTTTCTCTTTGAAATTTTGTGAATCGTAATATTTTCTAGACAAACTGTTATGGATCGTAAATTTTGTAATGAATATCTTGTGGATCATAATATTTTATTTAGTTAATTTTGTGGAATGTAATATTTTCTTGAGAAAATTCTGTGGAAGGTAAATCTTTCTAAATATAATCATGTGGAATGTAATATTTTCTGTACAAAATATTGTGGAATGTAATTTTTTATTGTAGAAAGTCGTGTGGATCGTATGGTGGTATATTTTATAGTAAATATTGTGGAACGTTTTTTTTTACAAAATCTTGTAGAACGCAACATTTTTTATAAAAAAAAAAAAAATTGTGGAACGTAATAATTTGCTATTGAAAATTGGTTGGAACCTTATATTTTATGCAGCAAATATTGTGGAGCTTAAAATTTTCTATTGAAAATTATGTGGAACCTAATATTTATTTTTTAAAGATTGTGGAACGTAAAGTTGTTATAAAAATCTTGTGGAATAGCATATTTTTTTATTGGAAATCATGTGGAACTTAATATTTTCTGTAGAAACTCTCGTGGAACGTTACATTTTTATATGGAAAATCTTGTGGAACGTAATATTTTCTAAAGGAAATTGTGTGGAACGTAATATTTTGCTATTGAAAATTCGACGAATGTAATATTTTTATAAGAACTGTTGTGGAACTTGATATTTTCCATATAAAAATTATGTGGGACGTAATTTTTTTCTCTACAAAATTTTGTGGAACGTAATTTTTTCTCAACAAAATTTTGTGAAAAATTTTTTTTTATGTAGAAAATTTTGTGGATCGTAATATTTTCCATTAAAAAAAATAAGGATCTTATTATTTATTTTTATTTTTTTGTATAGAAGAAAAAATCTATTTTTGTGGATCCTATTGACTATGATTAACTCTTGTGGAATGCATTCGTTAGTCTCTTGATTAAAATACCATTTCTAAATACTTCAGAGGATAGGATTTATTGTGGTTTTTTGTTGTCTATAAGTGGCGATTATCTTGCGGTTCTTCTCCTCTTACCTAACTCTCGCTCTCCTCACTCTCTCTTCGCCCTCTCTCAATCTTGACCACATAATATTATTAAATAGAGACTATTTTTTTTTTATTCATTCTTATTAAATTCTACAATTATCTGTCGAAAACTGCTATTGTTGTTGTTGTATTTGTAAAATAATAAAACGAGGTGATTCAACAAATGGACTTTAAACTGCTGCCCATGCTTGCTTGCTGCTTGGCTCGCCAATGGTGGTGGTATTGGCCGGTGGGTCATACTTCCATACTTCAATGAAATATGAATCTGTTTTTGCTGTTCCAGTCCAGCATTGCAGTCCATTTATCGGCAGCTAAAGAGAGGTGCTGAGTTAGGGGGAAGAAATGAGTTGTGAATATAAAAATGATAATAAACATAATCTCTATGACCCTCGTTATCCGCACACTCGGAACACTACACTCATCATAATCTGGAAATTGTGCGAGTGGCGATTTGTCGTATTTATTCTATTTCTCCCCTCTCTCCTTCCTCCCTCCTTCTCGTCTTTGTCTTTTTGTTATTGTTGTTGTTGTCGTATTTTTCCCTCGCTTACAATACAATTTATGCTGATTAAATTTATTTATATTTCAATTAAAGTCATTTCGAGACTCGTACAAAGCGGATCACTGGAACTATACAAATACACATTTTTTTAAATAGAAATCTTTTGTAAATTTGCGGATTCCTTTCTTCACACGAGATGTAAAGAAAAAGAAGAGGAAAAAAATGTTTGTCAAATAAAATAATTTTGTTTTTCTCTTTCTATGTTTCCAGAGGACCCACCACTAAACAGGAGGCTAAACAACTCAGTTGCATTTATTGTCATCCCTCCCGCCCTCACACTACTGCGCCTGCCACAGATCTATCCACAACAATGTTCCTTGACATCGTCGTAGTCACAACCGTTTGGCAACACTAAGTTAAAATCTCAAAACAACAGCAACAACAATAAAAATAATGGATGGTTCACATCTAGGTGGCAGCAGTCATCAATTAGCCAAAGATCAATTGTTGCCATTGCAACCATTGGCCCCTCTGCATCACAACGTCTCATCATCATCACAATTATTATCTCAAACGAGAACCGGAAGTGGACTGCTATTACGCACCAGTCGATCACCATCGGCCACACGCAGTGCCGAGCCAAGTAAGTCAAGCTTCTACTACTTCTCTCTCCCTTTCCCTCTCTCTCCAAGATGTTCCTTTATTTTTTATTGGCTCTGAGACTCAATTAAAAATGTAGAATTTTTTTTTTCTTAATTTTTATTACGGTTGGAATTTGTAGCTGTATCTAAAGTTGTGTAGAAAAAGAAAATATTTTTTTTATTGTAATTTCTTTTGTAGCTGGTTGGTGGTTAGCTTTAAATGTTTTCTCCTCATCTCTCTCACCATCCAGCCATTATTATGACACACAATCCCATTCTATATTTATATCAATCATTATATACCATGGTTTTATTTCTGGTTTTACATATTTAGTCATTTCTGGTAAGCTGAATTGCAATTTACCTAAAGGAAACCCAATTCAGCTAAGCTGAATTGCAGATAATCTGAAGAAAGTCTTACTACGCTTGTCTAAACTCAAGTTTTCCTCCAGAAAACCCAATTCAGCTAGCTTGAAATAAAAAATCCCCATAGAAACTCTAATTCAGCTGGGCTGAATTAAATATTTTCCATAAAACACCGAATTGAGGTGATCGGTAATGGGTTGAATTAAAGATTTTCAACAGAAAACCTAATTTAGCTGGGCTGAATTGAAGATTTTCTATAGAAAACCTAATTCAGCTAGGCTGAATTGAAGATTTTCTATAGAAAACCTAATTCAGCTAGGCTGAATTGAAGATTTTCTATAGAAAACCTAATTCAGCTAGGCTGAATTGAAGATTTTCTATAGAAAACCTAATTCAGCTAGGCTGAATTGAAGATTTTCTATAGAAAACCTAATTCAGCTAGGCTGAATTGAAGATTTTCTATAGAAAACCTAATTCAGCTAGGCTGAATTGAAGATTTTCTATAGAAAACCTAATTCAGCTAGGCTGAATTGAAGATTTTCTATAGAAAACCTAATTCAGCTAGGCTGAACTGAAGATTTTCTATAGAAAACCTAATTCAGCTAGGCTGAATTGAAGATTTTCTATAGAAAACCTAATTCAGCTGGGCTGAATTGAAGATTTTCTATAGAAAACCTAATTCACCTGGGCTGAATTGAAGATTTTCTATAGAAAACCTAATTCAGCTGGGCTGAATTGATGATTTTCTATAGCTGGGCTGAATTGAAGATTTTCTATAGAAAACCTAATTCAGCTAGGCTGAATTATATAATTTTTATTGAAAACCTAATTCAGCGGGGTTTAATTAAAGGCTTCCACTTAAAACCTCAATTCAGCTGGGTTGAATTGCAGTTTTTTAAACCCTTAATTTAGTTATTCGGAATTGAAGATTTTTCATAGAAACTCTTATTCAGCTATTCGGAATTGAAGATTTGTTATAGAAAACCAATTTCATCTAGACCGAAATTGAAAATTTTCTATAAAATCCTAATTCAGCTGGGCTGAATTAAAGATTTTCTATAGAAAACCTAATTCAGCTTAGTTGAATTAAAGATTTTCTATAGAAAACCTAATTCAGCTTAGTTGAATTAAAGATTTTTTATAGAAAACCTAATTCAGCTGGGTTGAATTGAAGATTTTCTATAGAAAACCTAATTCAGCTGGACTGAATTGAAGTTTTTATATAGACAACCTAATTTAACTGGGCTGAATTGAAGATTTTCTATAAAAAACCTAATTCAGCTGGGCCAAATTGAAGATTTTGTATATAAACATTATATCAGTTTGATTGAAGATTTTCTTCTTGGCTGAATTTGTGGTTTGAAGTCTAATAAGCCGAGCAGAATTGATAATTTGATTCTAAAAAATATATTTTATATTTAGCACAGTTGAATTAAGTATCCAATAGCATTTTACCCTTCTGAATTTCACATTCCAATATGAAATCTTAAACTCAGCCCGGCTGAATTAGGTTTCCATAAGGAATTCTCCATTCAGCCCCGCTGAATTAGGTTTCCATTGGAAAATCTTCAATTCAGCCCAGCTGAATTAGGTTTCCATTAGGACATCTTCAATTCAGCCTGGCTGAATTAGGTTTCCATTAGGATATCTTTAATTTAGTCCAGCTGAATTAGGTTTTCATTAGGAAATCTTCCATTCAGCCCGGCTGAATTAGGTTTCCAATAAGAAATCTTCAATTCGGCCCGGCAGAATTAGGGTTTCATTATGAAATCTTCAATTCAGCCCGGCTGAATTAGGTTTCTATTAAGAAATCTTTAATTCAGCCCGGCTGAATTAGGTTTCCATTATGAAATCTCCATTCAGCTCGGATGAATTAAGTTTTTATGAGGAAATCTCCAATTCAGCCTGGCTGAATTATGTTTCCATTGGGAAATATTCGATTAAACCTAGCTGAATTAAGTTTCCATTAAGTTTTTTTAATCTAGCTGGGATTAATTGTTGATATTCAACCAAACCTACCTTCGTGTCGTCATTATATCATTGTATATTATATCCTTACCTGTATCTGCATGCCTTGTTATCTATTTTTAGTCATTACATGTGTTGTTCCATTTATTGTTCATAACTATATGTGTTGTGTTTTTTTCTTTTGTTGTTTCTCTCTATCATTCTCCTTCTGTTTTATTTTATTTTTTATCACACAGCTTCATAAAAATTTTAACAATAAAGACAAGGACACCACAACAACAGCAACAACAACAAAAAGTTGTATATTTGTAATAAATTAATAGCAGATTTCTTTTGATCACGCACATTCACCTTCTTACATAATAAGAGAATACTGCAAAGAGGAGTAAGAGAACAACACCATACAACAACGTCTCTCCCTCACCACTCTCACATTGATAATAAAGCTGTCTGATTCACCCACTCTCTGTGCATCATTTTTGTTCGACATACCTGAAAACAAAATAAAACATCACGCCGCTCTCTCTCTGTCTCTCTGTCTCTCTTTAATTTTTGTTCAATTTATGTGTTCCTTTTTTGTTTTGAAATATAATTTCTGTCTCCCTCTCTCTCTTTTTTGAGATATTGAATTTTTTTTCTCTCATAAATATATCACTCTTTGTGTAACGTTTTTTCTTTGTTTTTAACTTTTACAACCATTTTTTGTGTCTTTCTTTCTCTCTCTCTCTTGCTGTGTTGCTTTTGTAATTCTCTCTTTACTTCTCTTTGGTTTTGTATTGTTTGAAATATCACACACACATTTTTATATGTGCTTTTTTATTGTAAACTCACTCTCTTAGATGATAAACTAAAATACTCTCTTAAAACAAACCAAGAGAACAATATCCATAGAGCTTTACATTTCGCTTAAAAACCAAAACAAACTAAGAGAAAACACAGCTGAAAGCCAAATACAAAGCAAAGCAACAACAAAATTATAGATTTTTCATTTCTGAAAAAAAACACGGCTACAATTTCCTTTCTTTGAGAGCTTAAGAATTTAAAAACAAAAGAAACAAAAACTAAAATCAAAACAAAACCCCCCAAAAATTTTCGCATGAATACAACAACAGTGTCCAGAGAGCGTGAACATCACCGCGGTGAGAGTGCCGACTCAACGAGTTCTGCGGCGCTGGCATTTGGCAGCAGTTCAGCGGCGGCGGCAGCGGGTATAGCAGCATCATCCAGTGGTGCCAGCAATAGTGTGGCCACCACCATGACCGGTAGCATGGGTAGTGGTGGTGTTGGGGTGGTCGGTGTGACGCCCTATCGTGGATTTCGCAGTCATTCGCCCACAAATCGTCGCAGTCGGGAACGTAATCGTACGCATGCCCGTACACATGGTTCCGATCAAGGTGGCCTGTTGGCCTATGGTGCCATTGGTGGTGGTATTCCATTGAGTGGTGTTGGTTTGGTGGGTGGTGATATGGATGTGGCATTGGGTAGTACCACATCAGGTGGTGTTATAGACGATACACGGTTGTCAGGTAATGAGAAGAGAGTTATAATTTTCAAGCTTCAATTTTTTAAAAATCCTTTTATCCCTCTCCCTTAGGTCTTGACGACATTTGCTATCAATCCTTTGCCTCCGATGATTTAGATGCCGGCCAAGGTGCTGATACCGGCAGTAGTAGTAAAAAACATCACCGACGTCATGAAAGAACCTCCAGTCTGCAGGCATTAGATCGTCTAAATACAAAAATTCAATGTACAAAGGAGTCGATACGTAAAGAACAGACATCACGGGATGGTAATATTCAAGAAACTTATTTCCAATTTAAAAAAAATTCTTAAAATTTCGTTTGTTTTGCAGATAATGTAAATGAATATCTGAAATTAGCCGCCAGTGCTGATAAACAGCAATTAATACGAATAAAGGTAGGTGGAACTTGATGAAAAGCACATTTTCTCGAAGAAATTACCAATTAAGCTGGGCTGAATTGCTAATTTGCTATTGGAAACCAAATTCAGCAGGTCTAAATTGAAGATTTCTTAATGGAAACTAAATTCAGGCAGACTGAATTGAAGATTTTCTAATTCAGCTGGGCTGAATTGAAGATTTTCTATAGAATACCGAATTCAGCCATAGAAAACCTAATTCAGCTGGGCTGAATTGAAGATTTTCTATAGAAAACCAAATTCAGCTGGGCTGAATTGAAGATTTTCTATAGAAAACCAAATTCAGCTGGGCTTTGAAGATTTTAGAAAACCAAATTCAGCTGGGCTGAATTGAAGAGAAAACCTAATTCAGCTTTAGAAAACCTAATTCAGCTATCGAAACCCTAATTCAGCTGGGCTGAATTGAAGATTTCCTATCGAAACCCTAATTCAGCTGGGCTGAATTGAAGGTTTCCTATCGTAACCCTAATTCAGCTTGGCTGTATTGAAGGTTTCCCATCGAAACCCTAATTCAGCTGGGCTGAATTGAAGGTTTCCTATCGAAACCCTAATACGGCTGGGCTGAATTGAAGATTTCCTATCGAAAACCTAATTCAGCTAGGCTGAATTGAAGATTTTCTATGGAAACCCTTATTCAGCTATGCTGAATTTAAGATTTTCTATAGAAAACCTAATTCACCTGGACTGAATTAAAGATATTCTATAGAAAACCTAATTCAGCTGGGCTTAATTGAAGATTTTTTTTCCATAGAAAAACTTCGGCAAAGTTAAACTGGTGATTTCTTAATAAAAAACTAATTCAGCTGAGTGATTTAAAGACTTTCATAGAAAATCTGTATTTATTTTGGAAACATTTGCTGAAATGTATTATTAATAATTTATTTTGTTTTTCAGGCCGTTTTTGAGAAAAAGAACCAAAAAAGCGCACATTCAATATCTCAACTGCAAAAGAAACTGGACAACTATACGAAACGAGTGAAAGATCTACAGAATCAACAATATCAAACCAAGTCACAGCATAGACAACCGCGTGAAGTCTTAAGGGACGTGGGCCAAGGTTTAAGGTATGTATACAAATCAGTTTCCTCTGCGAAATATGTAATTCAGCCCAGCTGAATAGGGTTTTCCTAAGGAAATCTTCAAGTCTGCCCGGCTGAATTGGATTTCCTTTGGGGAATTTTCAATTCTGACCAGTTGAATTAGGTTTCTTTTAGGAAATCTTCAATTTAGCCCAGCTGAATTAGGTTTCCTGTGGGAAATCTTCAATTTAGCCCAGCTGAATTAGGTTTCCTATAGGAAATCTTCAATTTAGCCCAGCTGAATTAGGTTTCCTATAGGAAATCTTCAATTTAGCCCAGCTGAATTAGGTTTCCTATAGGAAATCTTCAATTTAGCCCAGCTGAATTAGGTTTCCTATAGGAAATCTTCAATTTCGCCCAGCTGAATTAGGTTTCCTATAGGAAATCTTCAATTTAGCCCAGCTGAATTTAATTCCCTGTATGAATACTTCAATTAAACCGAGCTGAATTTAATTCCCTGTATGAAAACTTCAATTTAGCTCGGCTGAATTAGGTTTCTTATAGGATATCTTCAATTTAGCACAGCTGAATTAGATTTCCTATAGGATATCTTCAATTTAGACCAGCTGAATTAGGTTTCCTATAGAAAATCTTAAATTTAGCTCAGCTGAATTAGGTTTCCTATAGGAAATCTTCATTTTGGCCCAGCTGAATTAGATTTCCTATATGACATCTTCAATTAGGCTAGACCGATTTTTTGTTTATTTCCCTCAAATATATTTTTTCTTATTAATAAATAAATTTTACATTTCATTTGTTCCAGACATGTTGGTGGCAACATCCGTGATGGTATCACTGGATTTTCAGGGTCTGTTATGTCCAAACCCCGGGAATTTGCACATTTGATTAAAAATAAATTTGGCAGTGCTGATAATATAAATCAAATGTCAGGTAAGATCGATAAATTACTTCCAATGGATATAGTGATTAAGACTCCTATTTTGTTCGCCTTCTAGAATCTGAATTGAATAACCTAAATATGCCTGCGAATCAAGAAATGTTTGGTAGTTCAACGCCCAACACTGCCATACCAAATGCATCCACGGGATCTGGTGGTGGTGGCGGTATGCTTAATGCCGGTGGTGCTGGTAGCGGTAAATTTAATAGTGAAAATGGCAGTGAATGTAGCAGCGTCACCAGTGAGAGCATACCAGCGGGGTAGGTTTCCTTAGGTGATATTTATAAATTATACATTTTCTAATGTAGTTTTAAATTTACAGCTCTGGAAAAAGTCAATCGGGTGCCAGCCAATATCACATTGTATTAAAATCTCTTTTAACCGAATTGGCCGAACGTAAGGCTGAAATAGAAAAACTAACCGAACGTGTTGAACGTTTAGAGGTGGGTAGTCTATTTTCCTCCCATATTTTAAAATTTATAATGTATTTTATTTTTCTAGAATGCTCAAAAGGAATTTAATAACTTAACTGCAACACTGGAAGGTGAACGATATCGTGCTGAAAGTCTGGAGGAACAAATTAATGATCTGACGGAATTACATCAGGTACGATTATAGCCTTTTCCTGCAAGTCCCTTCATTGCTAATAATTTCCTTTTTCTTTTCCTTTCTCTCTTCTAGAACGAAATTGAGAATCTAAAACAAACCATTGCCGATATGGAGGAGAAGGTTCAATATCAAAGCGATGAACGTCTGCAGGATGTTAATGAAGTTTTAGAAAATTGTCAAACTAGAGTAGGTTTATCAGATTTTTAAATTTGTTAAATGGAAAGTATATTTGTTTTTGTTTCGCTTTTTTAGATTTCCAAAATGGAACATTTATCCCAACAACAATACGTAACTGTTGAAGGTATCGATAATTCGAATGCCCGTGCTTTAGTTGTGAAATTAATTAATGTTGTACTGACCATACTGCAAGTTGTACTGCTGCTGGTTGCCACAGCGGCCGGTATTATAATGCCGTTTTTGAAGACAAGGTAAGAGAAAAGCCGAATTGGATATGTAAAAAAAAAACATGCCATTCAGCTAGGAGGAATTAAAAATTTCCTAAAAAAGACTTAGTCAGAAGGGCTGAATCGAATATTTCTTAAGGGAAACCAAATGCAGTAAGGCTGAATTAAAGTGTTCCCTTTAGAAAACTAAATTCAGCTGGGTTGTATTAAAGATTTCTTAATGTAAACTAAATTCAGCTATGCTGAATGAAAAATTTTCTATTCAAAAACCTTATTATAATGTGCTGTATAGAAGATTTTCTATCAGAAACATAATTCAGTCGGATCAGAATAAAGTTTTCTTATTAGAAATCTAATTCAGCAAACCTAAATTGACATTTTCACAATAGAAAGCTAATTCAGCCTGGTTGAATTGAAGCTTTACTAACGGAAACCTATTTCAGTTAGACATACTTGTAGTTTTACTCTCGGAAACCTAATTTAATCGGGCTAAAGTGAAGAGTTTATATTGGAACCTAATTCAGCCGAGCTGAATTAAAGATTTCCTATTGGAAAATTTATTCAGCTGTGCTGAATTGAAGATTTCCTATTGGGAACCTAATTTAATCGTGCTGAATTGGAGATTTCCTATTGGAAACTTAATTCAGCCGGGATGAATTGAAGATTTCTTGGGGAAACTTAATTCAGCCCGCCTGAGTTGTAGATTTCATATAGTAAACTTTATTTCCTAGTGGAAACTTATAGCTTTACTAACGAAAACCTAATTCAGTTAGACAGAATTTAATTTTTACTCTTGGAAACCTAATTTAATTGGACTGAATTGGAGATTTCCTATTGGAAACTTAATTCAGCCGGGATGAATTGAAGTTTTACTATTGGAAACATAATTCAGCCGGGCTGAACTAAAGATTTCCTATTGGAAAATTAATTCAGCTGAGTTGAATCGAAGATTTCCTATAGGAAACCCTATTCAGCAGGGCTGATTTGAAGATTTCCTATTAGAAACTTAATTCAGACGGACTGAATCGAAGATTTCCTATAGGAAACCTTATTCAGCAGGGCTGAATCGAAGATTTCCTATGGGAAACCTTATTCAGCCGAGCTGAATCAAAGATTTTCTATAGGAAACCTTATACAGCCGGGCTGAATCGAAGATTTTCTATAGGAAATCTTATTCAACCATACGAAATCGGATTTTTTTATTCGAAATCTTATTCAGACGGGCTGAATTGCAGATTTCTTATCGGAAACCTTATTCAGCCGGGCTAAATTGAAGATTTCCTATAGGAAACCTTATTCAGCCGGGCTAAATTGAAGATTTCCTATAGGAAACCTTATTGAGCTATACAGAATTGCTATTACCTATTGGAATCCACAAAGAATTGTAAATTTCCTATCGGAAAATTTATTAAGACCAGCTGAATTGTAGATTTCCTATAGAAAACTTACTCAGGCGGGTTGAACTGTATTGCAATTGGAAACCTTATTAAGTTGGGATGAAATGCAGACTTCTTAATGGAAACTGTATTCAGCAGTGCTGAATAGAAGATTTCCTATTGGAAACCTATTCAGCCGGGCTTAATTGCAGATTTTCTGTAGTAAAACCTATTCACCCGGCATGAATCGAATATTTCCTGTGAAAAACCTTAATCAGATAGGGCTGAATCGAAAATTTACTATGGAAACCGGCTGAATAAAACATTCCCTGCTTTCCGGCTGGCTAAATACAAATTTCTTTATGGGAATATTATAAATAATTTCTTAGCTGAATAAATTTTTATGAGTCAATATTCTTTATCCCCTTAACTAATACCCCTTTCTTTCTCTTCTGTCATTTTTCAGAGTCCGTGTACTGACAACATTCTTATCGATATTCATTATAATTTGTGTGATACGTCAATGGCCTGATGTTCAGGACATTGGCGCCGGTTTACTGCGTCATTTAAAACAGTCTTTGGTTGTTAAATAGATATATATTTATATACCTACATACCTAACTAAATTTATATTTGTATATGTAAATATATATAGAAACAAACAAAAAACCCCCGATACCAATTCTTAACTATTATAATTAAAACAAAAAACAACAATTACAACTATAACTATTATTATTTAATTATAATTATTATTAAATCTAACAAAAAAGTGTGTAATAAATTTATTTTTAAACTTTGTATAATGCATTAGGAAAAGAAATCGATCTAAATGTAATTTGTAGCTTAAAAAACACTATTTATATTTATATAAAAATAGAATCCAAAACAAACTCTAAAATTCAATCCAAGAAAAAAGAACAAACTATATTTGTAATAAAAACCAAATACCACAACATTTTTAGGCCTTATATCCATCCATCTCCCCACCACCATCATCCCATTCAATATAACAACAAATTTAACTAAACTACCAGAGAAATAAAAATACAAGAAACCTAATTATGGAATATAATGTGAGCAAAACATTTTTGAAAACATCAACTTTAGAAATTTATCATACCAAAATCCAAATTAGTATTTAAGTTTTGTAGTTGTAAACGATTTTTTTTTATTTTAATATTAGCTATTATAAGTCTATTATTTATAAATGGACTGAAAAGTCCAGGGTCTCTAAAACAAATATAAATGTCCATTATTTGACAGAAAATCAACATGAACAATTTGTCTCATTTTTGGTCTTTATAAAAACTAAAAAATTTTTAAATGTATGTCACTTTAGAATGGGCCTCATAAAATGTGTTCTTCATATTTAAATAAATTTTGATTTCTAATTCGGTAATGGCAGTTTTTTCCTTTTTCCACCTTCAGTCCAATTCAAAGACAAATGACTTTACTCCTTAAAACTCCATTACCGCCTTGTCCGTGGCGTATTTGACCACCAGAGCGCCGTTCTTCTTAAAGGTGTTTAGTTTGCGTCAACTACATATATTAACCTGTAATCCTCTGGTCTTAGTCCTTCTTCAAGTCAAACCGGTACATAGAACATAGAGGTTAAATTTTTACATAGCTGATATTTCTTCCATCTGAGGAATATGAAAATATTCGCCACACTATTCACCACATGGACTGTTGAAAATCCACAAATTACCCCAAGATACTGGGAATAACGTTTGACAGCCTTATCAAGTCGTCTGCGCAAGCCACTGCTTTATGCGATAAACTAGGAACAAAGTCCTCAAGTCGCCAGCCGGCGCTGGCAATGAAACGTTGTTGGCCTCTTATAAAGTCATAGGCCGGTCAGTGGAAATCTCCAGTGTGGTTTGCGAATGAAAGTGATAGAAGTGGAAAAATATCCAGGACTACCAGAATGCTGCCCTGAGAACTGCAATTGGTATCTTCTCAATACTCCAGTGGTCCATCTTCATGAGGAGACGAAGAGTTTTCCCGTCCATCGACACAATTATATGTTATTGATGTGGCACTTGCCTGACTGTTATTTTTGGGAACACCCCTGTCATAGTCTTATGGACAGAACTCCCCCACTTCATGTTCTAGACAGAGAAGTCCAAAGACGTGAACATCTAGATCAAGAAGCCTATCAAACAGGTCTGAATGGTATTCACACAGACGCAGTCGCTCAGTTAATAGAGCAATATAGTGTGAATACCATAATCGAAGACCAACCCCCATATATCGCAGCAGAGGAGAAGCAGCTGCCCTGACAAACATTTAGCACAACATGACACAGGTGCAACCTCTTAATTGTCCTTTTGGCCAAAAGTTGTGGGCACATACTTAACACATTTTGCATGTGAAGATAAGGAACCACACGACATATTTATAACTGCCATAACACTTATTTTGCTGCTACAAAAATACACAACCCAGTTTCCAAGACAACATTTTTGAATTTGGAGATAGAGGAACCAGAACCGGACAATACATAACCCATAACATGTAATTTGTTGCTACAACAACAACAACACATATGAACCGACGTTCTGTTTCAAAACATTTCCTTTACATCTGATCTAGATCTCATTCACGGAAACAGCTACGAGTATTCCACACTACCAAATGAGTTACAGGCCTTAATAAGGTAGTCGTCCGAATTTCTATTACCGCATTTTATGGCCCCTTTGTATTGGGTAACTCCACTAAACTGGAACCGATCATGATCAAACCCGCGCGTTACTATGATGATCTTCAGATGATGGTAGATTAAAAACCAATGACTTTCACAGTTTCTACCATCAGGGATCAGCTTGGTCATCTGGTACCATATTTTTTTCCGTTACTAAAGCCGCCTTTTGAAATGCGGAGAAGGATAGTAATGGCCAACCGATGCTACTATGGTCTGAGTAAACAACTCAAAAACAAGGCCATCTCCCGCCAGATCAAACTCACACTCTACAAGACGCCGATACTACCCGTGCTGCTGTTATAAGGATCTGAAGCATGGGTATTTACGTAAGCAGATGAGGCAGCTCTTGGAGTGTTTGAGAGAAAAATTCTCCGAAAGATCTATGGACCGATCTGCGTTGACCGTGAATATCGCCGTCGAATGAACCATGAGTTGTACCAGCTATTCTCGGTTATCGACATTGTTAGACGTATTGAGCTGCAGCGACTACGTTGGCTAGGTCATGTTGTGAGAATGGATGAAGATGCCCCAGCCCAGAAGGCATATAAAAGTGAACCAACTGAAGGTTCGCGCAGAAAGGGAAGGCCATGAATACGTTGGAAAGATCAAGTCGAAGACAATATCGTCGAAAATGGTCTTTCAAATTGGAAAAACTGCGCAAAAGACCGACGCGCCTGGAAATCTTTTTTAAGCTCAGCTTGTGGAACGTAAGTTCTGTCACAAGCGAGCTAAGTAAGTAAGTAAAGCCGCCTTTGGAACGGACCATGGCTCCAGTGAAGACTTGCCAATATCCTTCCTGACTGCTACTGCACAAAAATATATATAGCTTGATCCTCTTCACATATTATTAAAAAAATAAGGTCAAATGAAAAAATTAAAATATTCTTTAAAAAAATCTGTCATATTTTTTTAAATTATTACGAAATATATTGCCCATTTCTAATATCCATACCACAATAGTTTTGGATTGCAAATTGAGACCCTCGACTTTTCTTTCCTATTTATTCGAAAATAAAAAAAATCTCACCTCTTCTCCCCATTTTCCGTATACACAGGTAGTAAATTAATCATTTACATTTTATACAAATATTATTAAATTGTGTAAATATGTCACATATTTATTTTTAAATGTAGTAGTTGGGTCAATTTTTTGTTTTAGTAAAGTAAAAATAAAACAAAACATTATATTTGTAATAATTATTTTTTAATTAATTAAAAAATAAAACGGAAATGACCTTTTTTTTAAAAAAATCAAACAAATTTAACAAAACAATTATTTTTATTTCTAAAAACAAAAACAAAATTCCTATTAGAATTTCTCTGACGAATGTGTGGACTGCTGTATTTCATATTAAATAAATTAATAAATAAATATATATTATTAGTTTGCAAATAAATATATAGTTTGTAATAAATAAATAATATTAAAAACAAATGACAACAACACAAAATAAATTACAAAGATAAAAAATGAAGAAAACATTCAAAATAAAAAAACACAAATTTTGTTTATCAAAATTTGAAATGAAAATAATTACAGATGGTAATACAAGATTGTGTTTTATTACAATTTTTTGGGTGGGGGAAATCATAAATGCAAGAAATAATAAAAAATATTGCGATGCTGACTGTAATATCCAGTCTTAAACATATTATGAAGTCTTCAAAATGTTATATTTGGTTCTAAAATTTTGGCTTACCATACATACTTACCATACATAACCTAAAATGTATAACCCAAACATTAAAATTTGTAATTTTTATACCAGCTATTCTCGGACATCGACATTGTTAGACGTATTGTGCTGCAGCGACTACATTAGCTAGGTCATGTTGTGAGAATGGATGCCATAGCCCAAAAGGCATATAAAAGCGAACCAGCAGATGGCTCACGGAGAAGGGGAAAACCACGAATAAGATGGGAAGACCAAGTGGAAGACAACATTGCCGAATATGGTCTTTCAAATATAAAATCGAACCTTAGCTGGAATGGCTCAACTTTGCACATGGTAATATTTCTTACAATTTTAAATCAAGTTCGGTGATGGGGAATATCGGTTCACTCCTTCTGGTACCTCCCACACAAAATGGTCTACATTTTTGATGAAAATTAATTTTATAAGATCATGCGAACGGACTACCGGATTTGAACCAAAGAACCTACTATTTTCTGTATAACGTTGTAAGATGGGACCCTTGGGTCCACTTTTTCGAGTACCTCTCCAATAAAGAGTCAAAAGTTTGAAATTTTTTTTATTTAACATCAAGTGAATTGAATGTCCGATTTGATCCAAACTTTGCAAGTCGTAATACCTTTACCAAACCTATATCAAGTCGGAAGATGAGATCCATCGGTCCACTTCTTATAGTACCTCCCTCACAAAAGGTCAACATTTTGAAAATTTGATCATTTAATTTGAAGTTAATGGAATGTTCCATTTGATTCCAACTCATAATATTTTTACCTTGGCTATATTAATTTCAAATGTGGGACCCGTCGGTCCACTCCTTTTGGTACCGTATCCTTAAGCTCTCTAAAGACTAAAGATTTCGTGGGCTTCTTTTAAAAAGTCCCCACGAACTTTGTTTTCCGCTAAACCTTTTACTTGTCTACAAAGTCACCACGACCTTCAAAGAGCCTAAAGGGACTCCCTTTAGCTCCATAATAACTCTTAGGCCATCAGGACGCCTCCAAACGGTTCTAAGGCCTTCAGATCTTCTCTAAATACATTCAGGTCTTTCAGCTAGCTTAAGAAACATTTCAGGCCCATCAGCTCGTCTATAAATTGGGTACCCAGTCTTAAGCTTACCTATAAAAACTTCCTGGCCCTTCAGATTGTCTATAAACACCCTTACGTTTTGGTATAGCCTCCGTTATAACAGTACCGCAAAATTTTCGGT